GAGAAAATGAATCTCCCGGGTGATGATGCGACTACTGCGAGATTACAAAACGGCGTATCCGGATATAGCGCCGAGGCGATAGCGAGCGAAATCGTCTTAGCGTAGGTAGGTTCCTCGTCAGCGATGGCGGACTTTTTTTGCGACTCGTCCTTAGCACCCCGACGATCCTGCGAGAAGTGCGGTACTTAACGTTGTATTAAAGGCCCGATAACATGATGCTCGAGGAAAGTTGTGACGCCATTAAGATAATCTCTCGCGGTGGTATTATGCGGTGCCGCAGAAGCAGAACGACAAGGGCCGCGGGGACGCAAGGGCGAAGTGGGAGGAAGGGGGAGAATATAATGAGAAGAAGCGAGAAAGGATAACGGCGAAGAGAGTCCGATTGCGAAGCGACCGACTCGAGAGGCTTGCGCGTAGAACGTAATTGGAAGTTAAAGTATAAAAAAAAAGAAGGGAGGGAGCGGAGTTTCTTCGGGCTTAATCTTGAAGCTTGTACCGCGCCGTATCCGCTTGATTTGATGTAGTATCTGCCGTTACCACGGTGATAAAAGCGGATGGGTACCGAGTATTGGGCATTAATGGTAAGAGGAAGATGTTCCTTTAAGGATTATATCGATCTTCTTTTATTATCTTGAAAACAGAGCGAATCGACAGGATACGCGGTCCAGTTGTACACGATCCGAGCTTTCAACTCGGATGCGGTTCTAATTTAAATCAGAAATTCCACCATTTGCGTAGTTGACCACGATCGTGTATCTCGCGATATCATTGTCCACGTTGATTTTCCACGGTAATATCGCGTGTTGATAGGTCGAGTTAACGAGCATTCTCTATTGTTAGTCGGTAAGAAGCACCTTAACTGGCAAATAAAAGAATTAACTTATCCGTCCGATGCCTCAATTTGTAGTAAGACGGCTGCGAAACAAACGGAGAAAGGAAAGGAGGATAATTGAATGGCTTGCGTGAGAAGTGATGTAGGTCGAGGAAAATCGAAGATTAAATTATATCCTTTGCAGTACAGCCCTTTACATACTTCCAGGTTCGCGCTAAGCGACCTGCGTCGCTTACGTAATTTTCAAACAGCGTATTCCCGCAAAAATTTCATGAGCCGAAGGAAAGAAGCCGAGTTTCTCCGGTGCGGTGATGGATTGATATAAAATTAGTCGTTCAAAAGTATCGCACGATGTATTAGAGTTCTAAAAACAAACGCCGGCGGCGTGATCCGAAGTTGTAATTGGAGTTAAGAGAAATCTTTACTCTCGCCGTAGATTTAATCTGTTGCTATAGAAAACACGAGCGCGATATCGTTGCTTTATCAAGCCGAGAAAATCTCATATCGGAAACTGTCCGCCGCAGAATGAATTATACGGCGCGGGGCTTGAAGATAATGAGAGAGGATACGCGAATCGAATAATCCGCGTGCGAAATCGATGCAATTAACACTTAAATGGCGTTTTCCGGTTATCGCGTCTGTTAGAAAGAAATTAGGGGCGGTTTCACGAGAGAGTTCAAGTCCAGCATATATATGTATATTAAGAGACATGATAGCGTCTCTTGCGCCAAGAGCACGCGCGAGGCGCCCGTGTATATTACGCGACGACACTAGTTGAGAAGTGGCCAGAAGTAATTTACAGTCAAACGAAAAGACGGTCTATTCGGGAGTTATTAATGACCACCAACCAAGTAAAATTTCTTTTCAACAAGATTATCGTGTGGCTAAATAAAAAGGGGACGCCAAGTGCAATCCTTTTTCCATGTTTCGAAAAATCACTGGAAGCGTGAGCTTTGGTGAGCTGAGATTATATCGGTACATCGTGTACAAACTGCGGCTGTGAAAACTGCAGGCGTCGATATTACAAACTGGCACTGCCATTAACTATCTATTCCGTGTCGGGGATTAATTAAATTCGCGAAAAGTTTCTGATTTTGTGAAGCGTTTCATATGTCCAAACTGGTGCGTAATAACGCCTCGGCAAAGTCGAGATAGTTAATTAGATATTTAAAACAGCGGTCAGAATATAATCCGAAATCAGACGAGCATTTTAACATGCAAACGCATTATTGTTTTGTACGTTTGTACGCTTGTTTGTGAAGTACTCTGTTAAAATCGTTACTACTTTCGTCAAAAGCGGTAATGTTATATACGTATGTTATATCGGCGCGATGCATTGTTCGGTATAATATGGAAATATCGTGCGCCACAATTGTGTACTTACAGTGTGGCAGTAAAATGTAATAAGCTCATTTATCGCATATAGGACATGTGCTCCGAGCGATGGTGTATGCATCGCATAAATTATTCTTACGTATAAAACGCCGTACATAGGGCGAGAAAGAGACCGAAAGAGAGGCTAGAGCGAGCAAGAGTGCCATACTCGCGCGATGTTACATACAGACGCTTAAGTAAAACGTGTTAATACTTCGGAGTAAATTGCTCTCGATCGGAAACGCGCATCGAATTATCAGCACAAAGGACAGATTAATAAACGGGTCAATAATTACGGGCGTAGATTCCGTATCGGCAGCTAACCTGCTGATTGCTAAACGTTTATTCTGCGCCAAGTATCGAATATCTACGCGAAGCGTTAACAATGGGGAGCGTCGATCAAAATGAAATCATAACGCGACTCCGATGCGATTTTAGAGTAAATTTTAAAAGCCGCCTGACGCGTTTAATCCGTTTATATTCGGACATCCGATTTATGATTTCATTTCCACTTGCGAGGTTACAGACATTTTTATCTCCACTTTTATAAAATTATTTCTCGAAACGATATCTGGTAAACGAATAATTCTCCCATTAGCGTTCATGGCGCGACGCACAAGAGACGGAATCGTCCGCCAACCTCGAGTACAATTATGAAAGGGATAAAAACGTTAATATCCAGATCAACTGATCTCCGGTCGGCAGCGATAAATCGAGGCTACCTCGTCGAGTCGACGACTCTCGATCTCAATTAGCGCGCGATCTTCGTTTTTCGAACGAAGCGCACAAAGGGCGTATTCACCGTCAAAAGAATATCGTGTTTCCAACGCATGCTGTTAATTACACGCGCACGTGAGTCCGAGCACCACCTTAACGGTTTGTTGTCCGTTGAAAATTAATTATTTCGCGCCAGGGGGAGCTAGTCGAGGCTGGTCGTTGAATGTATCGAAATACCTGCAGGACGGCAGGCTTAGCAGGCGGAAGGAAGGGCGAGAGGCGGCAAGGCGGGCAGGCAGGCAAGCAGGCAGGCAGGCAGGGTGAGTTGTCTGGGGGTGGCGTGTAGTTGACGCTTTATCGGAAGAGCGCTTTTGTTAGAAAGTCAATACCTGTGAAGAGACCTGGGCGCTCACTTCCTGATACGCTCGCGTTAAAGAGTACACTTTAGAGCACGCATAAAGCCCGTGTGATTTTTCTGGCGGAAATGCTCTCTTCGGGGAAAATCGCGCGAGCGTCCCGCGTCGTCTAAGACGACCGGTCGACGAGAAACGATCGTAAAAGTTGGCGCGCGTTCGGTCGATCTCTGGTCGCGAACGGTCGCATCGCGCTTTTTATCGTGATAATTTGTATAAAGAGAACGATGCTTAAATTAAAGCGGTTACGCAACACCGCGAGCGATTTCGTCATCGACGGTCTGTATACGACAGTTTATATCGGTTACCATCCCCATGGAATCAAGCGAATAAATCACAACTGTCAGCCACGAGATATTCGTCGCTGATGCATTATGTATTTTCCGTTGCCGATTCAATTTCGAAAAAAATATTCCGCCGGAGAGCCGCTCTAAGAGGGATTGTCCGTGTCTCGCGCGTCCGGACTTTCTCCTCCTCCGCCGTTTTCGCCGTGGTAATATCACCTATTCTGAATTTGCCATTGAAAGAGAGAGAGAGAGAGAAAGAGAGAGAGAGAGAGAGAGAGATTTGCTGTTTAAATTTTCGAATATCATCGCCGAGAACAACCGTGTTTTACGACGTAAATACATCCATTACTCATTTATCCGCAGCGTTGCGTGATTACATCGCGCTAGGATAAACCACATAGTTATCGGCCATTCGATTTTATGAAGTTTCAATTAGAGTAATTATCGGGTTTATGCCGTTTCCCTGTTGCCAAGTAACGACGTATTTTCAAACATTTACTCGGGACTCGCGGAGATTCGCTGGCGTAATTTTTGGAAGGAAAAAATAAATCACCAATAACCATGCATTATCTGGTGTTTTAATCGAAAGTTCAATTTTAATAACGCACTCATATCGCTCGCATCCTCTCGATGGACGATATTAACGCGCGCGTATTACTTTTATAATTAAACGAGCTGAAGATACCGCACGATAATCGTTCTGCGACGAGAATCAAACACATCTCTTAAGTGGCCAATAAAACTGCACCTCTCAGACCTCGTGATATTTACTTTTAATTACAATTTACCTCACGACTTCTCCGCTTTTATCGTCGAGGTCTCGCCGAGACCTCACGCTCTCGCTCACTTGCTTGCTCACTCTGAAAAAGTGCTTCGGGATGTCGTACGCGAAAGAGGCACCACTCCCCCTACCCGGCATTAAGCACTGTCGCCGTAGACGCTAATTTAAATACGACAAGAATTCCAGATTTCCTCGGCGGAGGGTGAGTGGAGCCACTTTACTACCTAATACATAGAGAATGCAGATACGTATCGGACAGTGCGACGAGGCAACGCGAAGGACAGACAGAGAGGGAATTGTTTTTGTCGTGGGGCAACGGAAGCTGACGGGGCCCCGGGGTGAGGGCAAGGGGAACAGGGAGTTGGGGGGTGCGAGAAAGAGAAAGAGACGACGGGGGATGAGAGCGAGAGAAGGGGAGGACGGAGGGTTGGTTAAGAGAGAACGGGGGTGGATTCGGCTACACAGCGCTACCGCGGCCGACCCGGGAAACTCGGACGGGGTTGGTCCGAAAGCTCTCTCAGTCGCGGACAAGCCGCCACGCAGTGATAACACCCTATATATCGCGGGGCGACGCTAAACCCGATTCGCGTCGCACACGACGATAGAATCCCAGTTACAATAACAGCGTAAGTTCGTTAGTGGAAGCATGGCCGTCTTTAATTAGAAAATCCGTTGACCGGATAACACGGAGGATCGCACTGTGCCGAACCGATGATCGATAACGACGACAAGGAGATCCACGTGGTGGATCGACGGTTTGTGTAACGTCCGAACTTCGCGCTCCGGATTTCCGTGATTTCACTCGTCGTCCATCTCGCTCCGTTGATCAGCTTTTTCCAGTGACGATTTTACGAGTTCCGAGGAGGGTGAGGAAAACGTCACGCAAGCGCCGAGTAATTAAGGACGTGTCGCGGTTTTCACGTTGTACCAAAGGGTTGCACCTCGTCACCGGGCACCTGCTAGCGCAGCTGCGTTCGCAACTAACGAGAATCCGCGCTGTTATTTCATTGCTCCGTTGTTACAACTCCCTGTCGGAAAGCCACTATTCCGTGCCACGTTATCGTCCGGTAATTACAGTACAAAAGTGAATGTTCTAGTAATAATTTCATTAGACTCGTATCTTTTTTCTTCCCATATATATATAAATATTTTTATATATCTATATAAAACTAATGGAAGGACGGTTTTTTTAAATTTTATAACTCAATTATGCAAACGTCACAAGTATTTAATATATATATATATATATATAAATTATTCCTCGATCATAAAAGATTTATCTTTTCGTTTGATTATATTTTTGAGGTGATAAATGTGGTTATAATTAAGTTGGCTATAGGATTAAATAATTTAACGTAAACCCCTTCCCCTTTCTTGCATTATTCGTAAAAACTGGAGCAGCGTCAGAGAATGTCAAAAATAAAACACCGTTTCGTTCAAAGGATCGGAAAAATGTGATAGTGACGAGGAGATAGCGGGGCGTGACGGATTCGCCCTAGACACATATGAAATTCCCTTTGAGTTGGTCGCGTTAACGATAGTGGCTCGGTTTTTGGCAACCGCACGGACGATTAGTTTCCGTTGACCGTGCGAAAAGGTAGTTACGAACTTTATGATTACGCGGCGCAAAGCGAATTGTTTCATTCGCCGATTACATGCAAGCTCGCAGACATAATTCGCGAAGTGTTAGAACGTGGGGCGGTTCGCGTGCAACGCTACCGCGTATCTCACCCTCAAGCTGATTTCATAACGACTGAGGAGTTTATCCACACGGCCTACTAGTGTTCCGCCAAATCTCGATGTTGCGTTAATATTGCAGACGCGGGAACCGCTTTCTTCGTTTAACTACGAGCCCCGGGGAAGCGCGGCGGTGCAAGCGGGCTTATTAATTCACGCGATGGCTGTGCCGAACGAGCCAAATGTACTTTCGCGAAATGCGAGAAGGTGAGAATGGAGTCGGTACACTTATCATCCGGCGGGGCGTTTGGGCTGCCTCCAATTTCTGGCAATTGCGGGCGTTGCGGATAAAAAGGGGGTCAACCAACGCGGAGTGCAATAGCACGGGGGCGCGACGAATGAAAAAAGATTTCGCGTTTAATCGCATCGCGCGACGCGCCCGCGACGGTCGTTAAATATTCATGACGACCGGCCGTGAGACTCGCAGGGCAGCTAAATTATTTATGATTCTTTTATGTCGTGACCGAGTATGATAACAAAGTGAAAGTTCCGCTGCAAATACAAGAGTGATGAAATATATTCGCGGAAGAAAAAAATTTGTATCGTTGGGGATTCTTTCTCTCGCGTCTTGCAAACGAGAGATGTCCGTTGGTTATCACATTTGCAATCAAGTTTATGAAAATGGACAAGATGTACTTATTGTTGCCTGAGCAAGTATTACCAATTATTCGACCAACCTCTCTCTCTCTTTCTTTCTTTCTCTCTCTTTCACACACACGCGTGCGCGTACTCGTCACTCATTTCTGCATGTCGAGTGGACCTTGACTCAAGACTCCATAAACTCTGTCTGTTTCCCTCTCTTTCTTCTATTTCTCTCTCTTTCTCCCTTTTTCTTTGCTTTCTTTTTCATAAGTACCTTGTCGAGCAGGCTTCAAAATAGAAAGGATATCCGATTTGAAAAGCAAGTTTACCGTTTGTAAAATCCGTGATTTTTTAAGTTTGTAAAATCCGTGAATTATATAGACGGTGATACAAAGCTCGATTCTCGTTTTATTCCCTTTGTACCGTCGCTCAATTAATATCCCTAATCTTTGTTTCAATTCCTCGTGACGGATTACGCAACTACTTGTTCGTAACCGACCTCGCGCTTGGCGACAACGACCTGGCTGAGTGCTGCTCAATCCGAGATTGGACACATTTCATCCGGCATATACGCTCCTTCGAGCAAGCGTCAGTCGCGAAGTCGCGTGTATCTTAACGGCCGGGAAGCCAGGAAGCTGCCACGTAACCGTCGAATTAGAGCGACGATGAAAGACCAATCCCCGGGTAATCGAACTACCTCTCGCTTCCGGTTAGGTCGCCCCGTACGAAACGTTATATTGCTTCATCTCTTGAGTTCGACAGAAATTCCCGTGCTGCGCTGGAGAAGTTGGCTTTTTCTTTTCCCCTTTAACGTCTTTAACGTCGAAACATCGTTCGTCAATTCGTCGTATTCTCCCTCCCTCTCCTCTCTATCTCTCTTGATCAGTCTTCTGTAACGGATGAATATATCGAGCCTCGTACAGCTACGATAATCCATTATCTCGATAAATAATACTTTGAATTAGTTAATTAATAATCAAATCTGTCGAGAAAGAGAGGGCGAGATAGGGCGGAGGGGCAGGAGAGAGCGAGAGTGAGAGCTATTGTTCGCTTGTTTCCGAAATTCACACGATACGACGGATCGACAGATGAAGCGTTAATTAACGCGTTTGCGCAGATACATTCGGAAGCGTAACGCGAGTGTTTGCGTTAGGTAATGCAAGTCTAATGCAAACGGTCATGCCTTTCACCGTTAGTTTAGTACGCTTTCTATACCTTCGGTCCCGTACACCAGCCGAATGTGCAGCCGAGCTATTTAAACTTTCGGTCAACGTAGAAGTAGTTAAAGTTGGGGAAATTCGGGAAACGCGTGTGTACTTTAATTAACACGCATATGTAGGAAGTTCCTTGGTTATTAAGCCGTGTCGTCTAGAAATTGGATATACGTATATCCGGCGACATCCCACAGCGCTATACATCCACACGCGTGTCCGCGTGTATTGCGCTCTCCTACTTCCTCGATTTCCTATGAAATATATACACGTGGAAATACATCCCGTGTTCCCAAGCCAACATCAACAAACCGGCCGGTAATTACCGTAAGCCTCTTCTTCCGCGGAGAATATTAACGGCGTTATATAGCGTTATTATAGCGGCTCGTATTTGCATTTTGTCCAAATTCGCGTTTCCAGTCTTCTCACGAGACGCGCGTCGTCGTTTTTAAAATGCACACTTATGAGGTGTGCATTTTGAAAACTCGAAAATTCCGAAAGGAAGGTCAGAGGATATAAAAGATTCCCTCTTTCTCTCTCGGTCAGATTTTAACCCAACTGCCCCACTTATCCGTGGGACGGAAAAAAGCTCAGGTGGGAGGGGGTGCGACTGATTGCCGGTGCGGTGCGAGGCGCAGTAAATCCTAAAATCCACCGAATTTCGAAGCCCCGAGGCATGTCGTAATCGAGTCACTCCGCGGTCAATCTTAAACTACCGAGTTATACGAGTGACTCTGCGGCACTCGCTCCGGCACTTTAATCCGGGGAACTTGAGAGTGCACCTGGTAGACGACGATGGTATATCTCTCCCCCGCTACGAACTTCGAGCTTGCGAGAGAGACGGGTGGCGCGGGCGGTCGGGCGAACGGGGGTGGTAGACCCAATTACATCTCGTTCGTGCAGAATTGGACGAATACATACAAGATGCTTAAGACGCCTTAACTACCTTGGGATTTGTACCCACATTCTAACTGTCGAGATTCGTTTATGTGTCCTACAGGCACTGGACTTTCGTCGGTTATTTGGATTTGCATCGATCCATAAATCCGTCTTCGCGACTGTGACGATTTTCGCGTTGCGGCCTCTCGTGTCATCGTCGAATCGTTCCTCGATTAAAATTTTTCTGCGCGCGCTTTTAATTCTCTGTTCTAATTAAAGAGGAAGAGAGACAGGATGGAATTTCACGGATTATATTGATATTGAGAAATAGAATGACTGACTCTATATAGCCAACTATTCAACGTTGAATCATATCGATTGAGGCTTTAACACGCGCGACTTCTTTCATGTGTTGCAGGAAGCCACGCCGTCTCAGAAGCTGCCTATTTCCGAGAACGATAATGTTGCACAACGGGACGTGGGCGGCGAACAAAGAAACTCAGTGAAATCGAAGATCCAGGATTAACTGGCGATTAATGTACATCACCACTTGGAATTAATGGAGCGCGGCCAACGAAAGGGGGGTACGCGATGACACGTCGCCAGCCGAAGACGGAGGCTCCTTGAGCCTGGATTAGACTGCCGCTTAAAAGCCGAGTACACTCTCGTCTCCTGAACCAAGATCGATCGAATCATCGGCGCACCTCGAAGGGGAACTGAATTTCGCGCACAAGAATCAGTTTCGCGCGGCACGCGCGGAAGAGGAAGAGAGAGAAAGCTATACTCCAATCACGCGCGCTGCTCACAAATCCGCGCAGGTGTCGGGGCATCACGATCCTACATGATAGCGGATCGACGGAGGAGGAGGAAGAAAAGGAAAATCGTGGAAAAGAAAACAGCTAGTTCGCCCTTAATTCCGAATGATCAAAGACTCGCCCGCTGCTGAGGACAGATTTATTCTGTGTCGCGCGGATATTTGAGAAGCTGGTTGTCGCGACGCCGAGGTTCCGTAAGCGATGTGTTTCCCGGTGAATTAAAGCGGCGTACCTCAGGCAACCAGTCGTTTCGGGACAATCGATAATGCCGGATCGTAAAACTCGTCGTAGAGCACACCGTGTGTCTGATAAATAATGCAATTCCGCTATCGGGAGGGTTAGTATCTCGGAGTGTGAAACGAACTGCTGGATCACCCTCGGAGCTAAAAGAGAAAGAGAGGGAGAGTTGTCGGAGAGCCTCGCGTGAGTTACGACGCGGACATCGTGGTGTGTGTGTCGACTTCATGAAATTGACCCGGAGTGGTTAAGCACCACGGCCGAAGAACTAGCAGCGGCCGAGGTGGAGGAGGAGCAGGAGGTTAACAGGTGCGTGTACCATCCGCGATAAGTGATCGTGCGTGCTGGACGAGTGCGCGAGAAAGTGTGGAATACTTCTTACTACGTATTTCTCGGCAGTTTCGATTTTCCACGGCGACATTGCCACCGATTGAAATAGTGTCGATTTCGGATCCGGCAAATATTTGTCGTGCGTCGAAATCGAGTAGTTTAACGCGGTTCGGAAACGTCGTCTCATCACGATTCAGAGCTCGCTCAACGCGGAAACGAAAAAAGGGACTCTCCATATTGACACGCGATATCAAACAGAGCTCGTACAAAAGGCCGGAGGATACGTGCACCGGAACGCATAAATCACGCATGCCGTACGTGCAATTAAGAAGTGAATCGGAGGACCGTAATTAACGTAGTAGCTAAGGTACGAAGACGTGCATACCCGGCAGTAATTAATTACTTTCAACGTGAGTTTAGAAAAGTCCCCGTTGGATCCTCCGGGGAGTCATTAAGTGGACTTGAAGAGTGGCACGTAACTCATGAATAGAAGCGTATAGCGAGTAAATTTCTAGGATAGTCCTAATTACTGGAGCGAGGAAGTTATATGAGCCTCGGCGCAGCTGCGAAGAATCGTTTCACGTTTGCACGAGAGTCCTTAAAATCGCAGAGATATACGAGCGAAAGAGACACGCCGACATTCGAAGGTACTCCAGAAAGAGAAAGGCAGAAAGAGGGAGGAAGGGAAAAAGAGTCAACCTTATTTTCGTGTTCAACTATTCCGAGCGAATCAGAACGAGGACGGTGCCGCTTCGTCAAACAGACGGTAATCGTTAACCTCATGCGTTATATAAATTCGTATGTGACGAATCGAATGTTCGCAAACGAGTTTCTCGCAGACTCCGATGATGTACCTATGGTGATGTCGTTTCGTAATTTGAACACCCGAGTATTGACGAGCGCGTAAAAATTAGGTTCATCAAGGTTTTCCGCGATAGAAGTGTCACGCAACATCGACAGATACGAACTCGTAAACAGAGGAAACTCAGAAACGACTGTTATCAAGACTATTGAGCGGAAACGCTGATAAAAACATACAAACACACGCAACGCGCGGACAGTCACGCCGTAAAAACAATCATTGGCCGTCAAAGTGTGACAGTCCTTGACGGGGACGACATTGAAGCAGCGACACGTGTAATGTAGCTCGTAGCTCTTCCCGGCTTTTCCACAAACAAAATGACATATAGAGAGTGAAATCTCGACGAAGGAAAATACATCATCTGTTTGTGTCGAATTGTATCTCATAACAGATATTCGGTCGTGAACTCTGTGCGCCAAGCCGTTGATTTTCGTAATCGTCAATAAAACAATAAACGACCAAGGGTCGACGATTATTACCGCGAGGCATGACGGACTTTATCGAAACTGATATGATGTGATGTATCGCGGGAACGAACGAGCGACGTTCACGATCGGCCACGAGAGAATGACGGTGACGTGTACGTACGCGGATGTTGTGCTGTGTCGGGATGCTGCAGTGAGTAACCGTCTATAAAAGCGACGAGAGTGCGGCAACGGGATCGTTTTCGTCGTCGTCAGCGGGAGGGTGAGAACAGAACCGCCCGACACCGCTCGCAGAGTCACCAGCATGAAGGATCATCGAGGAGGATGGTTGCGCGCCGTGCTGCCCCTGATAACGTTCCTCTCCCATCAGACGGGTGAGTGTAATCCTGCATGTTTATTATCGCGCCAGCTTTTTTCCGCCGGTGAGAGAAAATTTTCACCGACGATCGAGTTGCACAAGACTGTTACACGCGCGATATCGTTGATCGTAAATTTCATTTCGTGAAAATATAGATTCTCTTGCGATCGAGTTTTTCGTCATAAAAAAAGAGTATGGTCGCGATATTTCGGAAAAGAGACAGATTTGAAAATCTCAAACTTCTCTCCATATTTTTTAAAGAGAATGTGGAGACTTTCTCTCTGAAAGAAAAATAATTTTTGGAGAGCATATCGAAATCGTGAAATTTAGAGTCGACTGTAAGTCTCGCGATTGTTAATTTGTGCCCCCTGATAATGCTCTTTCAGCTGCGAGTTCCATCTTGAACCTACCAATTCTTCTTTTCACTTCTTTGTTTAGCCTTGTCATTGTCTCGAATCTAAATTTAAATCTCTATTGGTGCCTCTGCACACACAATTGCTACTTTGTTTTTCTTACTTTTTCAAACCTTTTGCATTTCCAAATTCTATTGATATTTCCAACGCTAATGAAAAGTTAAAAAAGGAACAATTGAAAGCTGAAAAACGAAGAATGTTGTTATTTTATTAAATGATTTGAGTAAAAATTGTGTTAAAATTGACGTAATTATGCGATTAATACATTTCGCAGATGATAATATTTTCTCTCGAGAATTTAGTTACAAAATAGTAATATATGGATAAAATAGTTATATGAAATGAATAAATAAATTAAATTAGTCCAATAAACAATATCGAGAATTGATTATATACGAAACGCTGGTCTAGAAATTTGGTCGAAAAGCGTCTAAATAAATCAACGTGTTCAATGATAACCTAGCGTACATATGTTATATTATCGAATATACTATTTTACCATTTTCTAATGGCCTTAAATAAACTTAAAGCGGTGCAACGACACTCTGTCGGTCACTCGGACAAAGAAGGAGGGTGTTGGTAAAGTGGGTCACATCGACGTGACGTATAGTAGGTTCACAACACACAAATACGCAGCCGCGGGCATGATTATATCGAAATATATATCACGAATAAAATACCGTAGGAGACCCAATATTTTTACGAAATATTACGATTTAATGAGGCGCGAGTAACTAAGCGGTTTTGTGGAATGTGACTTATTAATGAACTGACGCAAATTCCCCAAAGCGAAAAAGGAAAAGGGAAAGGGGATGACGTTATCTTTTTTTTATTCATTAGTGGGAAGTATAAGTTTTCACTATGGAATGCTTGCGGATGCCGATAATTAGCTTTCGTGTTTTTACGATACTTCGCGCAGCGATGAATTAACTCGTCGCGACCCAGAAAAATAATTAGCCCGCCGGACATTTGTACCCCTGGAATCGAGATTGCAACTATCCGGGACATTTTCGCGCTCCATCTCTCTTGAGGGAGAAAAAGAGAGAAAAAGTAGGAACAAAAGTGAGAGAGAAAGAGAGGAAGTAAAGAGGAAACGTAGAGGAAAAGTCACGTTGCCGTAACATTCCGCACGTAGATAAGACGAATTTCGGATGCGACTCGCCCACAATTACCACAAGATAGAGCCCCGTCCCAGTGGCGGTGTTCTTAAATATCTCACGGCTCACTATCGCGCGTTCGAGTTGATTTCTATGCAATGAATGGATTCATGAATAAAGCGCTTTTAGCCACAGATCGCTCGAGATCGTTTCGACGTAAGGCAGTCTGCCAATAATTTCAGGGCGAACTCTATCGACATTCCGAGTTATTCATAATTCGCTATATGTATTCTGAATTGCATTAAATCGAGAGAACTCGGCGGGAGCGACGGACGATTTCCACCGTTAAGCTCGACAATTTCAACTTGTTCTTCAACTTCGAACCATGTTTTTTTCCAGTTACGTCGAGCGGTTTTCAGGATCGCGGTTGAACGATGCGACGTATTTTTTTTCGCGAATAGTTTAACGAAGCTTCTTATTTTCAAGTATCAAACGATCCGTTATTTAGGACATCGCTCAAAGAAGATATCGATCGGGCGACGTGTCGAGCGTGTAAGCAGAAATTCACTCCTTCGTCATAAACACGCTTCGCCTCGCGAGCGAGTGAGCAAGCGAGCTGTGTATAAATTACCTGAAATTTCTCGCTACGTTCCAGAATGATAAATAATATGGGGCCATAATGTTACATGCACCGCCCGCTACCGATGTAAGGAAATTCCACGCTCCCGGTGTTTTACTGTTTCGCGAAATTGCGTTTTCAGTGAAAACTCCGCTACGGTTTACATCGACGCAAACTAATTCGTTACGCTATCGAAAACGCACGCACCACAGAAATTTGAAGCATGTTTCCGATCTTTATGAAAATCTACTCAAGCGGCTAAGTACATTCGTTATATGTTTCGAGTATCGATGGACTGATGATGAAACTAAGTATTGGGACAAATCGTCGAGTTCCGTGTGTAGAATTCGCGCAAAAACTTCCGCCGATAACTTTATACGCCTTACCCTCGCGATGTAAGTGGAAAAGTTTGCCATACGTGCCATGTAATACCGTGCGCGCGCGCGACGCCTGCGTTCGGCCCAGAAAAACTACAAAGTGAATTAGACATGCCCGGTAATTAACGCGTCTTCGCGTCCCTCTCCGTCCTGCCGGCTGTTAGCTTTGGGAGAATAAACATCGCCCGAATTAGCTGAACAAATTTCTCTCGTTCCCAGCGGCGTTGCTCCGCTCTTCCGGGTGACTTTCATCATGTCCCCGCCACTCCCGGGATCGAGGAATGGGGTGTCCGGAAATTCCATCGAGAAGCGAACTTTCTTACGAACGTCACGGAAAATTGAATTTTTAAGCGACAGGTCATTTGCGAGTAGCCGGCCGACTCTCTCTCTCTCTCTCTCTTCGTTGATTCGCCCGTGTATTTTCCGATTTCATCGCAACTTCTCCTCGCGTTCCGCTATTGAACGAAGGCTAATTACAACTGCGATATTCTGCTACGGACGAGTTTAAACGATCCGCGGGAAATACTGTCGCGATTCTGTATTTAACCCCGTGTTCCGTGCGCGGAAAAGTTTCGCCTTCATTTATTCGCGACCCATTGTCCCATTGTTAAAACCGAAACCGTTGAGATCATTGTTAAAAGCGTCGTAAAAAATAAATTATGGCGTTTCGGAATAAATTGGAATTTAAAAAATACCAATGTAATTAAAATTCAAAAGAGATACTGCTGTTGAAACGACGAGAAAAAGAGAGAGAGAGAGAGAGAAAGAAAGAGGAAGGTATAAAATTCATCGGGCGCTGAAATGAAAGGCGATAATTTATCGTAAAAAACACGAGATGTGGAGATAAACCGCTCTTTTATATTTTATCACGGTATTTGTATCAATCCTCGGACAATTATTTTCATTTCGCGGCTTCATAATTTACTTTAATCACCGCGACTATGGAACGTACGAAAGAGAAACAATGTTAAAGAAAGAAAGAAAGAGAGAGGGAGAGAGATTTCGCGAGTGAATACCATCGACCGAGCGCTACTCTGCGACGTCGCTCGGATTTCTTAACGGAACGATTCGCAAATACACTTGTACCGTAATATGTAAACACCGTGCTCGTCGATAGTCCGATATCTCTGGCGAGGTTGTGCCGTGAGAATTATAGATATCGGGCGGACGTGTAACATGTTTGCGGAATGCGGTTGATTGTAAGTCGAGAGCCCAATTTGCCGAACTCCGGTTCGTCGTGCGGAGGGAAGGAGCGGGACGCGCACGCGGGAGCCGCAAGAACACCGCGGGTTGTTCTATTGAAGTTGTAGCAATTCACGTTATTATATATCATCGAGTGTCTACCTACATACCCAGTTATACCCGCGTGTGAATTTACGCCGTGCACGCATCGCTTTTATACGGTAACGCGTCAAAATTAATTGCACGCGCGTTATTAAACTCGGCGCGAGTCGAGGCAGGGCGGCTTAATTTTCGCGCGCCTCCGTAAATATACCGTGCTTCCCCAGGGAGGGAAAGAAAGAGAGAGAAGGGGAGCCAAACTAAATACGAATCGGATGAGACGCCCGCACGCTTCACGACAATCGTGTTCCGTGGGTGGAAATAGCAGCCGTGTTTCATTATTTACGGCCGATCGATTTATTCAATGTTGCCGTGACCATCGGAATAACGCAAAATGTTGGAGGAGCGTCCAAAAGGCACTTAAGATTGGCTGAGGGAATGAAAGAGAATATCTCGAGGGTAGCTTTCGTCTTCCGTGGTAGAATCTCTCAGTCTCGCGTCGTTCGAGCGTGCTCATCGTAGTCACGTTTTCCCAATAACGACGGGGGAGGACGTTCTTAATTTCTTCCATTACCGGATACACGAGATAGATCCGCGGTAGATCGGGAACGGCTGTCCCCGGCCTATCGGCCTGTTATCTGTCCCACTTTATATCGCAGCGAACGCCGAAAAATTGAATTGCGGTGTAGCCGGTCGGCACGGACGAGCAGTAAATCGAAACTCCCTGCAGAGATCCCGGTACAATCGAACCAGACGAGAACCGGGTAGACCGTAAACCATTACTATTGGGCTTATCAAAGTGATTCACGTGACTGGCCGACGGCATTATGCAAATGAGCCGTAAAATTATCGTAGCCTTCAGGCATCGCCAGACAAGGGGATACCTGAACTTTCCATTATACGTGACAGAGCACGCTGCCGTCGCTGCTTGACTACAGCTCGTCGATATCCGCTTCAGAAGGCAAAGATTACACAATAATTCTCTTCAGTCGGATGTGATCGCGCGAGTCGAGTTAGTCTTTCGAATTGCGCTGTTTGCAGCCTCGTGACGGATACCGGCTAGAACGAGAGTGTCGTGTCTGAAAATCGGCGTCGCAATCACAGAGTCGGTCGCTCGCTGAACGCGAACTTTCAGCGCGGGAAACTTTCGCAGTGTAATTTGCCTAATTTAATTCGAGACTTAATAGCACGACGGGTAATACCCGCGAACGAGAGATTCGGCTTTCGGG